ATTAAGGTTTAATGGCTGGGATTGCATAGTCACACATATCTGTTTTGGTTGATGAACTTGACATGCCTGTGAATATGGTCAGAACTATCACTCAGCTTACAAGTTGCGCCACCTTCGTGTACTTTCACACGAAATGGAAGTCTCCATAGCAATGTCATCTCAGGAACTTCAGCTAAATCTGCTTTTTATTCGTATACACTCCTGAATAGTTCATTTTCCTCACTTATCTCGACCTCTTGGCCCTTTGGTCGGTTAGACGTGATTTATGACTTTTATCATTAGTTGTTTACCTTCACTTACAACTTGCATGGTTCCTTGGTGGTAACTCCTGCCTTGACAAAATTGTACCTTAACTATTCACATTTTGATTCTACGCCAATTTAAAAGCCTCGTTGACATTCTGTTTATGGGATAGCCTTTCCCTATCTTTCCTCCAAACTATTTCGTAAAACTTTTTTTCCTTAAATATTGTATCCTAGCCTGGAGGGCTATGAGTTAACCTATTAGTCGTTTGCATATATACATTTGTAAGCACTCGAACCAGAGGACTATTTTTAAGATCAAAACATTAGGAGTGTCTTAAATATAAGCTAAATACCTTTTTTCTCTTTATTTCTAGAGCCTGACATAGCTTCTCTGGCCTTAGTAGAACTCTCAAAACTACCACCACTTCACATGGAAAAAAATTATGTTATTATGTAGATTTTGAGATATATACGATTAAAAAATCTCCTTAAAGAGTGATTTCGTCAATTTGTCGAATGTTGAGATGCCAATGCAAACATTTTCATGCCCCAATTTTTATCCGTCCAGGGTAGAGACACTTTTCTGTTTTTCTCAATAATCAACAGTCATCTGCATCCTAGCGACAATATGACCATTTCAATACTGCAGAAAAGGGCAGGGATGGACTATTGAGGTAGGGCCGGCCTTTGCCCAAGCGCAAGGAGCTAGGAACTATTGCAGGAAGAACAATGCTACGCTTGATACTAGAATAGAATTTATTGTGATTTCCTAATAGTAGTGTCGAAACTATTATGGTTTCTGCCGTTTGTCAATTATGATTTTTGACAATTGACCCACTTGTATATTCGAAGAAAATGCGGATTTCAAAGAATCTCCTGACGTAAGATTGTTGTGATGTTTTCTTGAATTAGTGCTAAAATGAGGCCTTGGCAAAAATGAGTCCCTACTCTGACGATGTTCGTTATATGAAGACCGAAACCCCAGCCTGTCTTTGCCCGAAACGTTAGAGGATCTCTCGTGAACTACATCAACCAGAACCTACCAATTTCTTCATCATGCACATTAATACGAAATAAAAGTCTCATCATTAATAATCATTGCATGTCAAGAATTGAGGGGCTCTTTGTGGAATTGGCTAGATTTACACAAAAAACTGTTCGATAGATATATGAATGATCATTTTGCAATTTGGCACCATAATAAGGATAGATAATATAATTTCTTTTTAGTAGTTAACCCGTAATATTAATTTTTAATTCATAAAGAGGTTTTATAGAAGGCCAGTAGATCTGAGCTAAGAGCATATTCATCCAATTTCATTTAAGGTGATGAAGGACTATTAGTTGAATTGTCTTAGAATTTCATGAATAGGCTGAGCTTTTCTCCGTCGTTTGACAGACATAGTTAGAGCAGGATATCATGCTTAACGATAATTCATCTAAACTTCAAGAAAAAAAGACCTTTCTTATTTGTGTGCGTTTTGATGAATTATTGTAAGGCAGGATGCCCTGGTCTGATGACGTCCGTCACAGGGTGAACGAAAGCACAGCAAGCATTCATCAGGGCGCACTAATGACCTATTCGCACAAATCTACTGTCACAGCTACAACGCAACAACAATTGACCAAATGACAAAGAATCGAGGAGAAGACTCGTTATGGTTATAGAATTTCATAAACCACTACAAGGCATTCGCTTATTTTTCTGTTCTCCTTTATGTTAGGTCCTAAATTGTTTGCAAATTTGTTGCGGGCTGGTTTGAGCACTTTATCACTGCTTTGTTGCGCAATTCATTGAAATGATGCTGGCCTATGCTGACATATAAAGGATGCCTACTACGAAGATATGAGGAAAAACTAGGCTTTAAAGAATTATTTAGTAATTAATTGTGACATGACTTTCCATTTCGAATGAAAAGGTTGCTGGGAGGAATTTGTGAAATGGTCTCACCTGAAACCGAAGGAGTATTGTTGCTAACTGAAGATTTGGATTGTGCATAAAAGTCCTCGGCTCACCATCCTGCCAGCCTGATGAAACTGTGCTAAGCTTTGGTCTGTCCTGTGACAGACCTCATCGGAACTAAAAAAATATATACTAAATCAAGTGCAAAAGTTAATATATTTTTGCACTGGCAAGTAAAGTATGGACTATTGCTCTGATGATCTCTGCCACAGTACAGACGAAAGCATAACACAGGTTCTTCGGGATCGCAGGACAGTAAGCCGAGGACTTTTTTTCATAGTTCAAAAGTCTTTACTCTGCGGCAATCCTTCTTCGGTTTCCGGTTGGGTCATTTCACGAATTCCTTCCAACCAACTTTTTCTTCAAAATAGAAAGTCATGCGATAATGCCTACTACAGTTTTCTGAAAACGATTTGCTTACTGTGAAACTTGGACTAGATACTTGTACAAATATCTGCTTTCTGGCAACCTGTTGTCTGTACGCTCATATAAACTTTTCAATAGATATTATATTCTGTTTTTTAATTATTTGTGCTATTAAGGAGAACAAAATTTGTTGAGCTTTCTTGATAATATTTTTTAAAAGAAAACTTACTCTTGCTTATCTCTCTGATCAGATAATCTTGCTGGAGGAGGTGGACGGAAGCGATGATGATAACGCACCTACGAGATCTTCGGCTCCTGTAGATCAAGAAACATTAGCTGACCATAAAAACTTTTCAAACACTATCACTTCAGAGGTCCGCAGTTCATTGTCCGACGATCGGCAGGGCGAAAGTTCCCAACACATTACAGTTATTCCCTCATTGAACGATAACTTCGGTTGGTCTTCAGTCCTTGGTCCAATCAAATCGTCCCGAATGGTGGACCAAAAGGCTTCCAAGGGCACAGTCGAACAAATGCGAAGCCAGCTGCATGGTCGTGTGACTAATGCGTACTTAATGGTCAATAGGCCTGATGGCGACGACGGCGAAGAGGGTAAACACCCTATTGATGGTATTGGATCGCTCGTCTTGAACCCCGATGCCTTTAATGGCAGAAGATTTCGCAGTGCTAGTCTCTATACTCTCGACATGAGCCCTAGGGAACAGAAAACAGGAGACGGATATTCTCTTTTGTTGGGGATGCCAAAGCGATGTGATCACTCTCAGGTGAAAAATTCATATTCACGTCAGGACGAGCGAAAGAAGAATGGGCGTCGAGTACAAGGCAGCACTAGAAAAAGTTCCAAAGCAGCACCCTCCTTTTTCTATCCTCATCTTCACAACCCTCCACCCTCGGAGGCACAAGAAGACGGCACTGGTCAATCGCTTGTTCCTTGTTCTTGCGGAATGATACATGTCTTAGAAGCTCATCCAGATGACATTGATTCTTAATCTGTATATTACACTTATAAGCCAAACATGTGCACACTGTTTCGCCTCGAGCATGATGGAGTAACTACCACAGCTATCCGTTCATTTTAAACTTATTGGACTGTGTGGTATTATGGCATAGACCATAAGATTTGTGAGCAGAAAACATGGAGGTCTAAAGTAAATGTAGAATTTGAAATAATCACTCTAGGACAATGCCTCTGTACTACAAATTATAATAACCTATTTTATATCAAGAGCAAACATCGAGCTACTTCTAAAACTGGCCGACTAGTTATAGTTGGACTTAGTAAATCTCTTCATTTATTTTTCCTCAAATGATTTTAGAACCAATCAATACTTTTTTCATGTCTCACTAGAAAGTTTCGAGTTGTCCATTTGATGGAGAATGCTTCATAAGTTAATCGTGCAGAATCTGGAAAAAATTGTATTGTTAACTTTATTGTAGCCCAATATTTGTCATTTTTTTGATACATGTTTCTCAAATCAAATTAATCATATTATCCGTTATCCCTTTTTAGCTTAGGGTTTTGGTAATCATCCAGAATGAAATGAGATCTAAGCCAAATGGAATGTCTTCACTTTTAGCTTATGAAATTAACATGCCTTTCCAGAATATTGCAATACTCATCTGCTTTTTATACGGTTGAGCTACGCCTGTTGTAACTCCGTCTGTGAATGATACTGATTTGAGTTCCAGCACCATTTTAGCAGGGAGCCCATTTGTGAATCAAGTTGTGCTCTGACCGAAGGTAAGAACTTTTGTAGGTAGTGTCTTAATTCTCCTGAATTTGCTATACTGTATTATGATGAAATTGGAAGCCAAACTACTTTTTTAGCCGTTCAAACCGATATATTCAAATCGACAGTTTATACTTTATTTTCTTCATATTCTAATAAAATTTATTTGTCTAAGAAAGTGTAATCAAAATGAAAATCAGTAGTCAGGCCTTAAAAAACAGTGACTGCGCGGTAGATGCCAGATGATCCATCCATTTGGTAGTGCGGGGCACCAAGTGGAGCAAAATCGGCAACACGAAGCCTTTAAATATGGCTAAAGGAGCAGGAGGAAAGAAGCATATTAACTTTAATAGGGAAACAGGTTAACAAATTATACCATAACATAAAAAAACTCG